AGATATAGGCCTCATCATTAGTAATCATATATGTATTTCTATGTATTTATTAATCATTATAAAAATGATTTAATAATGATTTAAATATTTAATGATTGATGATTTAGTAATGATTTGATAATAATCATTATAGTAATGATTTGATAATAATCATTATAGTAATGATTTAGTAATAATCATTATAAAAATGATTTAATAATGATTTAAATATTTAATGATTTGATGATTTAGTAATGATTTGATAATAATCATTATAGTAATGATTTGATAATAATCATTATAATAATGATTTAGTAATATTCATTATAAAAATGATTTAATAATGATTTAAATATTTAATGATTTGATGATTTAGTAATGATTTGATAATAATCATTATAGTAATGATTTGATAATAATCATTATAATAATGATTTAGTAATAATCATTATAAAAATGATCTAATAATGATTTAAATATTTAATGATTTGATGATTTAGTAATGATTTGATAATAATCATTATAATAATCATTATAATAATGATTTTATAATAATTATTTAGTTATTATTTAGTAATTATTTATAATAATGATTTAATACTAATGATTTAATAATTATTACTAATAATTATAGAATACTAACAAATGAGTGTACAAGTGTGGATTACTGAGTTTAAATTTATACATAGTCGAATTTATTAATGATTTTTAAATATTTAATGATTTGATACTAATGATTTACTAATTATTATTAATAAGGATTTATTGTTAATATTTAATTATTTGATACTAATGATTTAAAATAGTTGATTTACTAAATATTTAATTATTTGATACTAGTAATGATTTGATACTAAAAATCATTGTTAAGGTTAAAAAAACTAGTCTAATTTCAATAAATAATTTGTAATAAATAGCAAACGAGTTTACAATTGTTGTCGATGCCGGGGTGTTGTTGAATGATAATGTCGAGGCGGACGTCTGATACGTTGTGGCCGTTGTGGCTCAAGAGTATTGTACCCATCCCCCTCATTCATTGGGGGTATTTGAACTGTCATGTGTTCAAAGTCATACGTCGACGAAAACGTGGGAGAATAGATGGGTGCCTCAGGCTGCACAAACTCTGGTATGTATGTCGGGACAGTAGAATCATCAACTGCGTGATGCAACGATTGTGGTGCGCTATTATCCACATCGGTCATTTCCGCTTCAGGTTGTAGAGATGAACTCCCACTCCCACTCGGTAGAGAGTATTCAGCTTTACCAAATCTTTTCTTAAACCTCAAAAATTGTCGCCTCTCTACTATTGTTGTGAGGAACGACTTTCCATTATCCAAAAAATAAGTAAGGTAAGTCGAAGTCTCAAAATTAAAGTCGTCGTCTTGAATGGCGTCAAGAGTTGGCATGAATGAAGCCCTATTGTTCCAAGCATTAATGTAGGTTGCATGCTTCTCAACCCAATTAACGCTTTCTTTACGACGACCATCAAATCTGTGCAGGTCGTCATGCGTCTCAACCCAATTCACTGGACGACGACCATCTAAGTTTTGGAGGAGGTCATGATCCCATGGACTCCACGGAATAGGTTGGTGGAAGTGGAATTGCCTCAGCACTCTATCCCCAAATTGGATCTCAACAAAAGCAAAATTGATCAATGGTGTAACAGTACACCAATATTGAAAATTTGAAACCCATCTAAAATATCGTGCGGTATCAACACAAATAATTTTTCATTCATGTATGGTCTCCAATTAAACTGTAAAATTACAAAAACAATAAAATTGATTTAAATCAAATAATATAGTTAATTTAAATAATAATTAAAAAATACAGATTATGCATACCTCCTTTTTGGCCTTAATGTCGATCTTCAACCTGAACTCTTTAATGTTGTTGTGCACCAACCTTGTGCCTTCAATTTTATGCCTCTATCTGTATATCAATCAAAACAAAAATAGAGACATTTTGTTCAATAATTTTAATCAAAATAAATATTTTTTAATTAATATTTTATATTAAAATAGAGGATTCATATTACCTTCCGGCAAGTGGAAAGTCAACCGCAGTCCGACTAATCGGTGTCAAAAATAGAAGTCTATGCCAAGCCCATGATTGTAGCAGCAACAGACATCCACCGATTTCTACTGTATTATTATCATTCACGACTAATGACGCCTTGCACATCTCACGATACAAGAAAGCCAATATCGCCGAACCCCAGCTATATTGTCTACAATTCTCAAAATTTGTTAAAAAAAGAAGATACTGAGTGTGAACATAACTACCGGATTTATCAGGCATCAAAATTCCCCCAATCAATTGTAATATATATGCTCGTGTTGCATATATAATTTCGTGCTCCGTACTATTTGATTGAAGTTGAAATTCATTCTTCAACCATGACAACCTCACCCGCCACCCTTTACACTCTGGTGGTACGGGCGCTTTCCCAAGAAACAAGTTGCAAAGTTGTTCCACCTTATTAAACTCATGTGACATTACCACCGGCATCCCATTAGTTTGGACCCCGAGTTGCATTGCCACATCCTCCAAAGTTATCGTGCATTCGCCACACGGCAAATGAAACGTGTGCGTTTCTGGTCTCCAACGTTCAATCAACGCACTGATCAAACCTGGGACCAACTTGTAATCTCGCACAAATGTTATATACCAAAATCCAGCCTCTTGCAAATTTTCTTCTATCAGTGGGTGTGGCTTGGGCACTTTATGTAGTCGAAGACGAAGGACTCGCTGCTCGTCCTCCTACAATTAAATATTTCAAAAAAATTATCACAATCATAAAATAATATTAAAATATTTATTAATTATAATTCATTAAACAAATATTTTATTCACCATTATTCCCAAATGATTTGAAATATGTTCATTGTCAAGTCTCAACAGTAGAATTTGGTCAGCCATTGGAATGAATCTGTAAAAAAAATTAAACAACAATATTTAAAAAATCGTTTAATATAATCTAATATAAACTAACTAACTAATTTACAACATTAAACTTTAATATAATAACTTATAATATAATAAACTAATAAACTAACAAACTAAACTTTTTAAAATATAAGTTAAACGTAAACGCTAAACCCTTAAACAACTAATAAAATATTCTTTTATATAACTAAAACTAACTAAAAACTATTTTTTCATTATAATATACTACTAATAAACTTACTAACTAATTTTTATATAATAAAATTCAACAAACAAATATAACTTAACTATTTAACTAACACAAACTAATTAAATAATTTTTGTTATATAACTAACTATTAACAAAATAAACTAATTAATTATTTTTTAACTATATAACTATCAAACATATACTAATTAAATAATTTTTAATTTATGTATACTATAACTTAAACTAACAATCATATAACCCTAAACTAACAAACTAATTAACTACTTTTTGTTTTACCCTAAACCCTAAACTAACAAATTAAACATTTATAATAATAAACTAATTTAAATATAAAAAAATTTACCTTATCTCCCTTTCTTCTTCTTACTTTCCTTTCTCTCTTTCTTTCTTTCTCGGCTGTAATCTCTTCTCTCTTTCTTCGGCTGCAATCTCGACGACCAAGCTCTGGCTGCAATCTCTTCTCCCTTTCTTTCTTTTTTTTATGTTCTCACGATAATGCACACCCCATATATAACCGGCTGACTCAATTATTTCACCAATAATTATGCAATTGCAACTATGATAGCAGCTGATTTCACGCAGCAATGGTTCAATTATTGTACCAATAATTCACGGCTCAAATGGTTCACATGCATGCATCAATAGCTGTAGGCATGCAGCGGGGAGCAGGAGGGGAGCACGTGAAGGAATCTTGGCTGCATGTGCATGCATGGTCTCGTGAGCTAGGACTACATGGCGACCTACTTGGTCGCCGGGACTACATGGCGACCTACTTGGTCGCCGGGACTACATGGCGACCTACAAGGTCGCCGGGACTACATGGTGACCTACAAGGTCGCCCAGACTGCATAGCGACCTCTCCATTGGCTCGTATGGCTGGCTCGTATTCGTATGTCACCCCCGTATGTCACCAGGATTGCATGGCGTCTTACAAGATCGCTTGGATTGCATGGCGACCTATGGCCATCACTGTAGAATTCACCCCATTTCAGCAATTAATCTGGGATGTACATAATCTCGTGAATAAAAAAGTTCGAGAACATTATCTCGTAAATTCAACCCGCATTTATATGATAAAGATATATTATCATAAATAGACTTAGATTTTTATTAATTTAGAATAAATATAAAATAGCATCTATTTATAGAATCTCAACTATTTGATTTTAATTACTTGTACACCCCATATATGCATACGGTAGGTGACCGTACTAGACAGCGTGTAACCATTTTTAATTTGGGATGAGCTTCAAGATGGATTTCTCTCAATTAATAGGGCCAGAATATTTACTAAAAGTGTCTAGCAGAGATTTTAAAGAATGACGTGTTTCCTTATTCACTCTGAATTAGGAGAGATTATCATTGGCGAAAAAGAGATGATACGTGGCACACTTTACTAATCCTTATGCCTTGAATTGATCTCCTATTTATGAAGAAACACATAAAAAACAACTTGACAACAAATCAAGAAGTTTGGGAACAACAGACACCCTGTCTTAGCCCTCTTCAAGAGGATAAAAAACTGAAACCTGACAAGACACAGACTTCACCGACTCCATCCGATGTTAAGAACTTCCTAAAGAAAGGATCAACATGAACTGTCTTAAGCCATATAAATATCAACGACTTGTTCCTTCAAAAGAAAATATCAAGTTTAAGAGCCCCAAGACTTTTACTTCCCATTACCCTTGCAACCGATGGCATGCATGACTTCTGACGCAATGGCTACATTATCAGATACTTGACAACTTGTGTTGAATGCAGCATGAGATTCAAGATATGATGCAACCTATGGTGATCAATTTTCTCTAGCAAAATGATGAAGGTAGAGTCAATGAGAAGTGGAAAGGAAGGAAGAAAGAAGCAAGCAAATTTCATATAATAGCTTTGATATTATAACAGATTCGATCAAAAACGTAACATGAGGGATTCAAAGCGAAAAGAAAACATTGCATATCACACAACAGTTCAAAACAAAACCCAAGAAATCAAAAGGATAAGAGAAATGCTAAAACTCCTGGGAAGCGGATCCAATATCACTCTTGTTCTTTCCCGCTTTACTGGGAAGAAGATTCTGGTGAATGTTGGGTAAGACACCTCCATTTGCAATGGTGACTGAACCCAACAGCTTACTCAACTCTTCATCGTTTCTCACTGCTAGTTGGATGTGCCTTGGAACTATTCTATTCTTTTTATTGTCTCTCGCTGCGTTTCCAGCAAGCTCCAGAACCTGATAACAAGTAAAAACAATATCAAAAAGGGTCTTATTTCCCCCCTATATTATTCAACATTCAAGAAACTGTTTTATTTATTGATTGACTAATAGTACAGATCAATTAACCAGAGATCAAAAAACGAACCCTCGAATCAATTAACCATCAATCCATCATTTCAACCCACATCAAAACTCAAATTAAATAAATCGTAATGAAGAACGTAAACGATTATTAAATCACAATTTTTCCCTAAAAAGCATAGCCGCACAAATCGATTAACCACAAGAAATCTCACCTCGGCAGCGAGGTATTCCAATACGGCGGAGAGGTAGACGGGAGCTCCGGCACCGACACGCTCGGCATATTTCCCGGCTTTCAAGAACCTAGCAATCCTTCCCACCGGAAACTGAAGACCGGCCTTATGTGACCTGGAAACCGCCTTGGATGACTTAGGTTTCCCTCTCCCTCCTTTGGTTGATCCTTCCTGGGGGCTCATCTTTCAGAATCCCAAACCCCTAATCTTGTTGGTAAAAAGGAATAGAAGATTTGGAATGGCAAAGGTGTCGGCCTAAACTGATAAATGGATGATTCCAGAGATAAGGGTTTTGCGCGGAACATTATATAGCAAAGCTTGGTGGAATGTGATTGGTCATTGGATGATCACGATGATTGCAAACGTGGCACGAGATTTTGAGTTTTCGCGGGAAACATTATATATTTCCTTTCATGTTTAGAGTTCTCGCGGGGCACTTGTTTCTTGGTTTGAATATAACAAAATCGTAAATATATATGAGCCCGTTGCTCCTCCTAAAAAGAGCCCAATTTCACCTAAATATTCTTAGGATAAATTATATGTTTAGTACTTATATTATTACTTTTGTTCCTTTTTTATACCTAAACTTTATTTTTTAAATCATACTTAAATTTAGTTTATGTTTCAATTTGGTACATATCATTAAAAAATTAACAGAATTGTTGATGTTAAATATTTTACTTTTTCAAGGGTAAACTACATCGTTCATCACTCAATTATCTTTTCACTCTTGTTTTGGTCATTGAAATTTAAAAAGTTTTAATTTAATAATAAAACTTTTGAATTACTCTTATTTTAACCAATCTAATTTATTTTATTAATATTTTTATATGATACTACATTTATTACTATTTTGTTATTAATATATATGCCATGTAGGATTAAAATAACAAATTAAATTAAAAATCTAAAATCTAACCCAAATCCTAAACCTAAAAGTTATTCCCAATTCATGAATCCAAATTATAAACCCCCAACCTCCTTAGTGTCGTTTTTCGATCCACCACCGTTGGTTTTTTCGGTTCCAACGTCCTCCGCCGCCTAAGCTTCATAATTCTACTCCTCCATGAAACTTCAACGCTATAATATACCTATTTCGATTGCCATGCCTTCATGTATCTGCCAATACATGTGAGTTGCTATGCTTGTAGACAAGTCAAAATCATTTTGAAATTAATGATTGTATATAGTACGTGTTCAAGTGTAGCTACTGCACCATCAGTTTTTCCCCTTCCTCAAAGTTAAGGTCCCCATGCTTCAAAGCTTTTCATTCTCTTTACTCTGAGATATACTGTGATTTCGATGTTGAAAAATTATTGTGTTGATTCTGTGATGACCGGTTTCACAACATATTTCTGATTTCATTCTAAATTCTCAACTTCAATCTACAGATTTCATTTTAATTCGGGATCTAAGGTTTAGGTATAATCTTTAGGTTTGAAATATGGGTTTGATTTTAATTAATTTTTTTAATACTATGCGACGTATAAGTCAATATAATAATAATAGATATCATATCATGACAAATATTAATAAAATAAAACAGAGTAATTACAATAAGAGTAATTTAAAAGTTTAATGATAAAATTGAACATTTTTAAATTTTAGTGATCAAACTAGGGGTGAGAAGATAGTTGAGTAATGAACGGTTTAATTATCTCTTTTTCGATGATGATTTGGTAACATCAACGTTAAATTTTTAAAGATGCATATCAAAATGAAAACTAAAATAAATATTAGGTATATTTTAAAAAAATAAAATTTAGGTGCCAAATAAAATAAAAGTTATTTACTTATGTACTAGATATGTAGTTTATCCTATTTCTTAAATATACATGAGAAATATTGAAAATTAAAATAGTGCAAAATGATAACAAACAATAAATAATACTATTTGAGGATATTTGGATTGAAAATTCGGGACCCGATATAAACAAGTCTATATAAAGTTAATTTATATTCAAAAGATTTTAAATTATTTTGTATAAATTTTGATGATGTATATTGGCACACCATTATTTTCAATAACTAGCTCGACAATATTATATTTTAAGTATTAAATTTGACGATACAATGTAAAAGGAGATTCAATTTACAAAATATAACTTAAATGATTATGAAATCTAATTTTATTATATCATTGTCAATGAATTAACATTCAGCTCAAGCGATCTTCGATTTTTTAACAAAAATGACGGGTTTATAATATATGAATAGTTAAATAATCATTTTATAAGTTTTAATAATTAAATAACTAAAAATAATATCTTATAATTAAAAAATTATTTTTTTAATATTTAATAGTGAGATAACATATCAATACCTTATATCGAAATACCATTTGTATACTTCATCCTTAATTCTTATGAAAGGTTTGGAATGTTCCGTGGAAATAAATAAAGTAGGGTTGGAATGAATGGAGAAGGGAAAAGCCAAGAAGGTGGAATTATTATTGGGATTGGTCATTTGGGGCACTACAGATTTTCTTTGGCTGGATGGGTCCACACAGTAAATTAAAATAAATGATTACATAAATTATGGTCCAATTTTATTTTGTTATTTTGTTATTTTTAATTTAATTGATAAATCTATTTAATTCAATTTATTTAAAAAACCAACTCAATGAATTTAAATTAATTTAGAAAACTCTTTGCATGTATTTAACTAAATATTTTGGGTTTTTTCTACCCAATTAAATAAGTTTTTAATGGGCAAAATTAGGAAAATAATATGGGTAGGAACTTCAAAAAAGTGATGAAAAATTATTTTGAAATATAAATCATTTGCTATAATGCACATAAAACTCGTAATGTGAAGATGGCGAGTTTGAAACTTGTAACGTTAAAGTAACAAATTTCATACAATTTTTATCTATTTTATATGATAAGTTATATCTTTTAATATATTTTATGAACCACATCACCTACACATGACAAGTTTTATTTACACTGTAATAAATAACTTATATCTCAAAATAAATTTGAAGGAGTTATATTTTACTAATTAATTATTTAGTATGTATTATTTATCTTATTTTACAGTTCTTGACTTCTTGGTGTGTAGAATAAATAAATAAAATATTATTTCAAAAAAATATATATGTATATATATATAATTGCATCACAAAAATATATAATTTTAAATCCACATGTAAGGGACCCACGCGACGTAAATCCTTCGGCTACTCATTTTGTCGTGTCGTCTCTCATGTCCCACATTCACTCTATGAGTATTTTAGCACCACACCTTTAGAATTTCTAACCTGCGCACACCATCTTATCCTTTTCAACAAGTTACAACTGAGATTTATCTTTACCGTCTCTTTATCTGTTTTATTCAAGAAATTATTAAGAAATAAAAATAAACTTTTTCACTTTTTGCTCGTATGCTTATGGACTTTGGAACAGAAAAAGAAAGAAAGAAAAAAGGAATGGCAAAGGAGGGATCTCTAGCGTGGAGAAAAGACTAAATCTTTGTTGGGTTTCCTTTTCATTTGATTTTTGGTTTGTGATATGAATTGTGAGTCTTTGTTCAAAAATATCTATTTTTAGCTTCTGGGTTTTGTTTTTGAGTGTTTAAAGAAGGGGAAATGTCTGGAAGCAATGATGTCAACCTCAATGAGTGCAAGGTACAATCTTTTTTTCCCTTCATTTCATTGGTCAACTTGTATTGCTTATCTCTAAACTGGGTTGTTAAATTTTGTTAAATGGATTTTGATTTATTTTCGGGTGATTTAAGTTGAATTACTGCTGATCTTTTGTTAGAGCTGGATACCTTATCTAATCTTCTTTATAAAGATTTTTGTACTGTTTAAAGATGATTCCGTCGCTGCTTATAGAAAATTTTATTTATATGTTTCAACATGATATTTGAGTTTGTTTTCCAAGAAAGTTGGAGTTTTTTTATTTGGTTAAGCCTTTGTAGTAGTTTTTTCTTTCTTTCTTTCTTTTCTTTTCTTTGCTGGTGTTCATTGGATTTTGAAGATCATATATAGTTATTGGTTTGGATCAGCTTGCTTTGTAGGATGGTAACTTTTGACTTGAATACTTTGCAAAATTTTTGTTTATCTTTGCAAGTGAGTGTAGCTAATGTGTGGGTCTATAGGGTTTTCAGTTCATGTATTTGATGAATTTAGAGAGGCCAATATTAAATAGGTTGTAAAAGATCTTCTTTGTTCTAGATTTGATTTCATGATGTCTTGGTTGCTAACATGCTGTGTGTATATCTTATTGCATAGATGGTGGTTCCCCTAAATACATGGGTCCTCATCTCCAGTTTTAAGTTGGCTTACAATCTTCTTCGTCGACCGGATGGCACTTTCAATCGTCCCTTGGCAGAGTATCTCGATCGTAAAGTCACTGCTAATCTGAACCCAGTTGATGGGGTTTTCTCATTTGATGTCCTCATTGATCGTGCTACGAGCCTCCTTTGTCGGATTTACAGACCTGCAACTGCTGAAGAGCCTCAACCGAGTATCGTTGACCTCGAGAAGCCTGTTGTGGGTGAGGTTGTCCCTGTTATAATTTTCTTTCATGGTGGGAGCTTTGCACATTCCTCAGCAAATAGTGCTATATACGACACTTTATGTCAACGGTTGGTGGGTATTTGCCAGTCTGTTGTTGTTTCTGTGAATTATCGACGTGCACCTGAAAATAAATATCCGTGTGCTTATGATGATGGGTGGACCGCTCTTAACTGGGTGAACTCTAGATCATGGCTTCAAAGTCAGAAAGATTCAATGGTTCATATATATTTGGCTGGGGATAGCTCTGGTGGTAACATAGCACACCATGTTGCGGCACGAGCCGTAGAATCTGGAATTGATGTATTGGGAAATATATTGCTCAATCCAATGTTTAGTGGTCAAGAAAGGACTGAATCCGAAAAACATTTAGATGGGAAATACTTTGTTACTCTACGAGACCGAGACTGGTACTGGAGAGCTTTTCTACCTGAAGGCGAAAACCGTGACCATCCTGCATGTAATCCGTTCGGTCCTAATGGTAAAAGCCTTGAAGGAATCAAATTTCCAAAGAGTCTTGTGGTGGTTGCCGGATTGGACCTTATTCAGGATTGGCAGTTGGCTTATGTCGAAGGGCTTAAAAAGGCTGGCCATAAGGTTAAACTTCTATATATGGAACAGGCAACCATCGGTTTCTACTTGTTGCCAAATAACAATCACTTCCATACTGTCATGGACGAGATAAGTGAATTCGTGAGTTATGACTGTTAAATAGAATTAACTTTACATACAGGCAGCCATAAACGACACG